ATATGGGTAGTTGCTGCGTACATGTCCAACAGAATGGACAACTATCATGCTTCCTCTGTGATAAAGTATCCGTAGTATGTACAGCTACAACCCCTAACAGAAAGATTTCTTTTTTAGTAGAGAAAAGCTGCAGGTAGATTGCTAGGTCGCCTGAACTGGGATTTTAATGCCTGGTCATGCATATGCTTTGCTTAATCTACACATGTTAGCCCATTGATTGGTAGTAGTGTTAAAATTGTTATTCGCTGTTTAACGCGTTTTTGGTAGTAAGGTAGTGTAGAGACATTGACTGAAACTGTATCGCACGTAGTATGCCCTACAAAGACAGATCAAATATCAAATTATATATATGTCATCAGCTACTCCTACTAGTCACTGGACTCCATCAGCTGATGTAGTTGCAAGTTGCAACCAGTCTTGCATATCAGTGGAAGCTTATTCACTACTTGCAGGTCTTGAAAAGAGATAAATTTGATAAATTGTAGTGCCTCAGTTTTAAATGATATTACAGGCAGTACTTCTACAACTTAGCCTTATTGAATTATCTCGGAGATGACTTTTCCTTATTTAAAAAAAAGATTGGATAGCTTATGGTGTCAGTGAAAATGATCTACCGAAAGAAAGTGGATAGCTTTCTACTCTAGGATGTCATCTGCTTTGTGCAGGAACCACTAGCAGATAATTTTGCTGGTGTAATGCTTCATGCTTGCTTCCAGTTTGAACTATCTAACCACTGTTTTTTCTACTACAAAAAATGGAAATAAAAGCAGAGAATGTCACACAGATGATGACAAGTACTGAAATAGTTGCAATCAAAGGAGGACCTTGTTTGTAATCCAGAAGGATTGCATGGCTCATCTGCAAAGGGGATTTCTTGCAATGTGATGAAAGTAGCCCCTGGTCCATGTTAGCACATGTTCCTGTATCTTTATTATATATCCTTGGCCAACTACTATGTGTTTTTTGGGTTGGAGGGGGGGGGCTTCCTTTCTTCATGCCTGTGCTACTCTTGCAAGGCCTTGCACACACTAGAAAAAATGCTATGATATAAAATACATACTATGCATCAGGTGTGACAATATTGAGGAATTACTGATACATGCAAGCAAAATGATCGCAGATGCAAGTCCCCTGCTGTGCTGTTAAAACAAAACTTACAGGAAAGCTGAAGAGATGAGAAGCATCATTGTAGGGTTTCCAAAAGGTTTCAGAAATAGTTATATATTTCAAGGTCCAACGGTAGCAACAAACTTCAATGAGTAGAAATATATGCCCACTCTTTTGGGGGCGAGATGATTGCTACATTAAACTCAGGTTAGTACTCTCAGAACTCCCGAAATCATGAGTTCTAGGCCTGCATAAACAACTTGGAATCGGAACCAACTGAAAGGCATTATTATATCAGGGAATCTGAGCAAGACTATATCTTGGACCGTGCCAAATCCATATCTTATGATCAACTGGACCAAGGATCAATGCAGAGTGCAAAACAAGAACTAAAGTCATGAGTTTTTGTGTACATAGCTTCTAGTGCACTACTGTTACATATGTATATGTATGTCTGTAGTGTTGATATAGTTGTTCTCTTTATTCCTCAATTGCATTGTCGCCCAAAATATGCCCTTCTCAGTTTTCAGTCGGCAATTCCCAAGTGGGCGCCCAGAAATAAAGTGCATTGTAGCAAATTGATGAAGCAATTTGCTTGAGCAGTTAGTGGGTGATGAAAGCAATGTTGGTAGTTATATATATACAAATATATTCTCTGGTTGCTTGTTTACAACAAGAGGGGGGCCCTATTTGCTTGGCTCGTCTGGGATTTGGTGAATGTGGTGCCACAGTGCCCCATGCCAGCAATGGCAACAAGCACTAGCTTCTCAATTGTTTCAGTTACCCATGTAAACTCCCTTGATTTCTAGTGCCTGATCGGATGTACAGCTAGTAATTTATACAGTACTTGCACAAGCTATTGAGCAAAACAAAATTCAGGAAACTGTCAGGTAGCAGCATGAGAGTTTGAATGCCATGCATGGGCACGATGCTGGTTGGACCAATGCAAAACCTGAAATTAAGCAGGTGGCAACTTAAACTTATCAGCCGACTTATCAGCTAGAATCTACAATATTTTTCTCTCACAGCAAAACAGCTTCAGCCGGCTTTAATATCAACCGAACAGGCCCTGCTACCTCAAAAAAACAACTGAATTTCTTATCCTGCACAGCAGTGTGATGTCCCACGAGGCCATGACGACGATAACTTGACGCAAAGAAAACAAACACCACAGGAGTTATCGATAACGTGGTTCGGAGGTTGTTAATCCGTGTGACGTCTGGAGAAGTTTATACAAATCTTCAGTTTTTACCTGCCTCGTTAGCAAATTCTGAGGAACCGGTAGGTACTCTCTACTAGTAAAAGATGGCAGCTTCCCCAGTTAAAAACTCTGACGAAAGATTACAGTGACAGCCTGACAGGAGAAGGCGGTCAGGTCAGATCTGAAGAAGAAGGCGAATCGGAGATCCCAAACCCATGTCTCCAAGTCAACTTGCTTCGCGGAGGTGGAGGCGATGGACCTGGACGAAGCACCACAAGGAAAGGAAAGGTGGGGGCGAGCAAGCAGCATTGATGCCTCCATTACTCCTCCTCCTCCTGCTCAATTCTTTAGCTAGGAGGTTGGAGGAGGAGCTCACAAGGACAGCCTGTGCTCGTGGCCTTTTCGGGGAGGGGTGACGAACTGGTGAGGCAACAGTGACAGTGAGATCAGTCAGACAGCGCCACGAATTCTCACCCTGTACATTTCTGTAACAAGCAATGAAACAACAGAACATTATTATTAGGATTCAATTTTGGCATTCTTGCTGAAAAATTGCAGTGGTAAATATTTTTCCCTGCCTCTGCTTGTGTCTGACCATGTTTCATGACAACCTTCTGAGGGAATTCAAGTAAACACATACACATGACATAGTTATTATGGTATGTTTTTGTAGGTTTGCAGCAAAGTGATGACCAGACCAAATAGATGGCAACAAAGCCAAGATGGCCTCGTTCGCTTGGAGGAATTTTGGAGGAATCTGGAGGAATCTAGACGAATCTAGAGAAATTTGTGAGAAAAAAATACTGTTTTGGATGAAAAAAAAGCGGATTAAGTCAGGTTTAAAGGCACACGAACGAAGCCAAAAAGAAGTGCGTGTCACCATGGGCAGGGCTGTGCTGTGGTGTGCCACCCCAACCCCACCACCCCATTCCCCCCTCACCAAAGCACAGCACAGCACAGCACACACACAGGGGCACAGGGCTAGAAAAGAGAAAGGAGACGACCAAAAGAAACTGGAGAAAAAGAAAAGAGCTGAAAAGCAAGGCGAGGCCTCCTCCGCCCCTTTTTCTCCCCTCCCAATTCACACATGATTCACTCGCCCGCCTAGAGAGCTTTTTACGTGTGTGCAATTAAAAAAAATTGTAATTATACATAAACCATTAAAAAAGTTGACCGCACACAGGTGTCACTGCTCTAAACTTCTTTGCCTTACAAGCCATTCCGTCCTTATTCTGTTTGTTTTTCGCCGTTTGGTAGCCCTTACAGGCGGGACCGGCCAGTGAAATTGTCCATGTTGACCTTGGGCGGTGGAGACCGTGTTGACTATGATTAATCGCCACCTCAGTTTTCTTGGTCTCCCCATGTGCCCCTCTCGGGAGAAGAAGGGGAGCGCAGGGGAGAGTCGTGACCGCCGTCGAGAAGGCACGTCGTTGCCGGAGCTCGTGGCCACCGAGCAAGCGCGTGGCCGCTAGGCAGGCCTGCGGCCATCAAGACGCGACGCCGAAGCTCAAGACGCGACCACCGGAGCTCGGGACGTGGCCGTCGGATCTCGAGAGGCGACCGCCGGAGCACGTGATGCGGCCGCCAGGTTGCCGACGCGTGGGCGCGCGGCCGTTGGAGCACAGGCCGTGGCCGCCGGGGGGCGCTGGGGCTCGGGGCGAGACCGCGGGGCCGCCGGGGTTCGCCGCATGACCGCCTGGGAGGGCGTTGGGCCGAGTCGTGGGTCGGGTCGCCGAGGAGCAGGCGCTGGTGCGCGGCCTGGAGCGTGCGCGGTCGTCGGGGGCGCGGGACCGGCCGCGCGCCGCCGAGGGTGCAGGGCGGTGCCGGGGCCGGGAGCGTGGGGCTAGGCCACCGGGGTCACAGGCCGGGGCCAGGGCCGGGAGGCGCTGGGGGCGAAGGGCGGGGCCGAGGCTTGGAGGTGCCGGGGCGCGGGGCCGGGCCACCGGGCGCGGTGCTGACGACGCGCAAGCCGCGTTGCGGTGCATAGGAGCGTTGGGGTCGTCATAGGAGGGGGGAAGAAGATAAGGAGGAACACAGAGAGAGAAACTGAGGTGGCAGTCAATCATAGTCAACACGGTCTCCACCGTTCAAAGGCAACATGGATATTTTCACTGGCCGGTCCCACCTATAAAGGCTACTCAACGACGAAAAACAAATCGAATAAAAACGAAATAGCTGGGTAACTTTTTTTTAATGGCTCTTTTCTTTTAGTGCCGCCCCTATTCCGCTCTGATCCGAGCCTTTCGCTCAAAGCCTCCAGCTTTTCCAATTGTTTGGTCACTTCGGGAATCAAGGAATAAGTTCTTGTGCTGTGCGCGATAGAGAGCCTGATCCATCCTTCCCCGTATCCTCTTCCCCTGGCATTTCGCTGCGCTTGCGCTCTGTGCGTGGCCACTGCAAGGGAAGGATTTTGGCCTGGTTTCTCTCTTCTTGGGAGTTCCAAATTTTCGGCCGAGATCTTCGCGTCAAGGAGGTTCCTTGCTTTTCTGGTATTGGCGGCTCTTGTTACAAGTCCAAGGAAAGAATTTGGAGGCCATGGGGGTCCCTTGCGACCGGTTCTGGTAGATTTCTCGGGCTGTTGAATTGAAGATGCCGCTCTGACCCACCGCTGCCTGGTTTCTTGGAGGAAGGTAATTTTGCTTCAATTGGGCGTCGTTGAGCTACAGCCCTCCTCAAGCTCTTGATCCGGTCCATGGGGCTCTGCCATGGCAAGCCGACGCAAATCCCGGAGGCCGAGGCGGAGGAGGATCCCCACGTAGCCTCCGGCGCGGGCGACGGTGGGGACGGGGCGACCTCGCCGTCGGCGGCGGCGCCTGTGGCGAAGCCGGGCACGCCGAAGCAGCCCAAGTTCCCGTTCTACCTGCCCAGCCCGCTCCCGCCGTCCAGCTACAAGGGCTCGCCGGCGAACTCGAGCGTCGCGTCCACGCCGGCGCGCGGCGGGTTCAAGCGCCCGTTCCCACCGCCGTCGCCCGCCAAGCACATCCGCGCTCTCCTTGCGCGGCGGCACGGCTCGGTCAAGCCCAACGAGGCGTCCATCCCCGAGGGCGGCGAGCCGGAGCTCGGCCTGGACAAGAGCTTCGGCTTCTCCAAACACTTCTTCGCCAAGTACGACCTCGGCGAGGAGGTCGGCCGCGGCCACTTCGGCTACACGTGCTCCGCCAAGGCCAAGAAGGGCGAGCACAAGGGCCAGGACGTCGCCGTCAAGGTCATCCCCAAGGCCAAGGTTCGACACACACGCACGCACTCATCTTCCTGGTTCATGCCATTGCCCATTGTCATGTCCCGTTCTCGAGCTGTTTGTATCATTTGGTCATTGAAGAACGTCTCTGCACATTACATTCTTTGTTGTTGTCCCCGTCCAGTTGCATTTTGCATGTTTGACCAATTTTTTGTCAGATTCCTGCGTGGTTGGATTCCAGCATGTCTACACCATGCTGCTATGCTCAGTTTTGTTGTCAAGATCCAGACTTTTTAATTCGTGTGCAGTTCTCTAAGTGTTGACCAAGACTCAGCATTTGGATTCTGTATTTTTTCACCTCCATGCTTATGGTCTTGGATCCTAGTTCGGTTTCGTCACGCTGCTGCTTCAAGCAGTAGAATTAGGGACTTAATCAAAGCTGGATGGATATGTGCCGTCACAAATTTGGTAGAACGTTACTAATCAAGCTGGGTTAAAGCACGCTTAGTAACTGATTAATGGAAAGGAGGCAACTTTACGAACCCTTCGGTTTCTAATAGCTCCCGGGGTGCTCGTGATAGCTGGTGGCAGGGTGACCTCGTCGCCCGGTATGACATTCATGTGTAGCTCCATCACAGGGGACGAGCCTCCTCCATCTGGATGTGGACTTGCTTCCTGCATTGATTGTCTTCATGTTATGCTCATGGCGCCATCAGCTGCCTCCTGCCGAGACCTGCCATCTTCCCTCCTCCTGCCGTGACCAACCATCTTCTTCCAATCTTCCCTCATGTTGCATCCACAGGTGGAAGAAGCACATGATCCCCTTGGATAGATCTGTAGGTCAAAAGGGAGCAGAGCTGTTGAATCACAGCTCGATGCTTTAATTCCCCTTGAAGAGTTCACTCATTGTGCGCCTCCCTGCAATTATACGAGGGGTCATTCAATTAAGACCCTGTAGAGGTTCAGTATCCCCGGCCAGACCGGTGCTTTTATGAGCAAAGCTGGCAGTCCTCCTGCTGCATATGTAATGCTGTAATGCCCCACACACAGCTACTCACATTCCATGTTCTCGTGTTGTTTGTCAGTCATAGGATGGCAGCAACACCGGTTTTTGTTTCATTCTTTGTAGAAAATGAGTGCAACAAAATCATTGATATGGGAAGCAAGTGAAGTCGAACGACACTGATAAGATCACTTTTTTTTTTTCTTTAGGGATTTTGAATGGTTTGCACTTTGATTTATTCTTTTTGGTTATTTGGTGTCTTCCAGGATTGATGCCAGCAAGAGGCATTTTATTAGTTCGTGGTATCTATAATTGATCACTTATTATCTGTGCAGTGCACAGTTGTAGTAATATTGAGCTGAACAGTATTGGTTGTTGGATAGGTTGCTTGAGACCATTATTTGTGCTTTGAGATCTGCATATGTAAGCCAAGTCTTGTTTTTCGGTTGACCCATGTTGCTATCATCATTGAAGAGGAATATTTTTCTCTTTTGTCTCTTAGACTGTTAGTTGCATTCTCCAACTGCTAATACATTTGCTTAATCACATCAAAATGATTATCTCCTATGTACTTTATGTGTAGGTTATCTTCATGGTTGGGTTGTCTGTTTACCATTAATTGTTTTCCGCAATTGTGTGATCCCATATTTAAGCTCAAGAATTTAAACATTCTCACTCAATAAATTTTCTGTCAGATGACAACAGCTATTGCCATTGAAGATGTGAGAAGAGAAGTGAGAATATTGAGTTCTTTGACAGGCCACAGTAACCTAGTGCAGTTCTACGATGCTTTCGAGGATGAAGATAACGTGTATATAGTTATGGAGTAAGTTTGCACCCTTTTTTTAAAACCGAATGCTTTTTTCTGTACTCACTTGTTATTGTGTTCATTAGTCGAAGCTCTCGTTCTTGTATATATTGGTAGGTTTAGACTTCAGAGACATTTTCCATAGATGTAGATCCTCTTGATGGATTGTTGGGTCACAGACCAGTCATTTTGGCCCACTGTCATCATGCCGGTTAATATTATTGTGCACACATGCAATTCTGGTTACTTGATCATCTTGAACCTAAGTCAGCTGTTTCCTTATGTTTCAGATTATGTAAAGGAGGTGAACTGCTGGACAAGATATTGGCTAGGTACCTATAGAGTCAACATTGAAATAATTTTCAACAACTCTAAGGATTTATTCTGCTAGGGTTATGATTTGAATTTTCTTTCCTTGCAGAGGTGGAAAGTACTCTGAAGAGGATGCGAAGGTCGTTATGGTACAAATTTTGAGTGTTGTATCATTTTGCCATCTTCAAGGTGTTGTTCACCGTGATCTGAAACCAGAGGTATGTTGCTAGGAAACTTTGACAACTTGTTGCGATATTCTTATCATTGACCTGGAATTTTATTTATGCTACACTGGTACTGAACGTAAACTGCCACTGGATACCATAACTATTATGATGTTTTTCCTGTATATTTCTTATTCTTTCCATAATACTAATATTGCTTAGTCAATGCAGTTCTTTCGCTCTCATGTATGGTGATTTATGTATTTGTTCATCCCTTTTCCAGAATTTCCTTTTCTCTTCAAAGGAAGAAAACTCTCCCTTGAAGGTCATAGATTTTGGCTTGTCTGACTTTGTGAAGCCAGGTTGGTCTTATTTAGTTACATGAGGATACATGTGTACTATTTATCCCTGCCAGATTAAATAGCTGCAGTGGGTCATAATGCCATCATTATGTTCTGCAGATGAAAGACTAAACGACATTGTTGGAAGTGCATACTATGTTGCTCCAGAGGTGCTCCACAGATCTTATGGCACTGAGGCAGATATGTGGAGCATTGGAGTAATTGCCTACATCTTACTATGCGGGAGTCGGCCTTTCTGGGCACGCACGGAGTCAGGAATCTTTCGAGCTGTCTTGAAGGCGGAACCGAGTTTTGATGAGGCCCCATGGCCCACTCTCACAGCTGAAGCTAAAGATTTTGTAAAAAGGCTTCTAAATAAGGATTACCGCAAGAGAATGACGGCCGCACAAGCTCTCAGTAAGTGCAAGATTAGCTTTGCATTGCATTGTTGCACGCTGCTATCCTGCTGTGAAGATGCTTAACGCTTTGCTCAAATAAATGATAACTGCAGGTCATCCATGGATCCGTAATGCTCAACAAGTGAAAGTTCCTTTGGATATGATAATCTATAAGCTAATGAGAGCTTACATCAGTTCGTCTTCACTGCGGAAGTCTGCTTTGAGGGTATGCATATAATCAAACTTTAGAAAGTATGTCTAGGAACTAGGATTCTTTTTTGGTCTGTAGATGAATGTTCCCTTTGCATACCTTGAGCTTATTTTTTTGAGCTTATGGATACACAGCTTAGTAAATTGTATACTGCTAATTATTTCTGTGAATTTTGCAGGCCCTAGCCAAGACGCTGACGACGAACCAACTCTTTTATGTAAGGGAGCAGTTTGAATTGCTGGGCCCAAACAAGAATGGTTATATCTCATTGCAAAATCTGAAATCGGTTAGTAATTCATTTTATCTTTTGTAGTTCACTATATTTTTTTTTTCTCTTTCACCATGCAATTGCTGAAAGGTAAATGGAACATGCAGGCTCTAGTGAAGAACTCCACAGATGCAATGAAGGACTCTAGGGTTGTTGATTTTGTTAACACCGTAAGCCACCCTGGACTACCCTCTAGTATTTGCTTTAGTGTTGGTATATGAGATAACCTAAACCACTTACCCTGCTTGTCACATTACCAGGTGTGCACTCTTCAGTACAGAAAATTTGATTTTGAAGAGTTTGCTGCTTCTGCCATCAGTGTTTACCAGATGGAAGCCTTGGAGACCTGGGAACAGCACGCGAGGCGCGCGTATGAGCTGTTTGACAAGGAAGGAAACCGGCCTATTGTGATCGAAGAACTTGCATCGGTATGATTCCATCTGTTCAGAGAATTGGTGGCCATGCATGGCATGATATTAGATGTTACTAAACATCGCTCATGTTAATATCTCTGGTTTGCCAGGAGCTCGGACTTGGCCCATCAGTGCCTCTTCACGTTGTCCTCCAAGACTGGGTCAGACACGCCGACGGGAAGCTGAGCTTCCTGGGATTCATAAAGCTCTTGCACGGGGTTTCGTCGCGCTCGATCCCAAAGGCCTAGCATACACCATCCATCCCTGCATATCCGTAACCATATCCATCAACCAAGGAGATGACCGATGGCCGTGCGTGTGTGTGTTCTATTCAAGGGTGGCTGGAGGGTGGACGGCCTGAAACCCAATGCAATGATGAAGAGAAATGCCTGATAATCCTGTGTAGTAAGAGTAAGGCAACAAAAGGCCTGATGCTTGTGCCTTATATACCACTTGTACCCCATCCCTTGCCACGTGGATTGATGACGTCATCGTTGTTGTTGTACTGAAGTAAGCTGTTGTGTAGACGAGTGTACAGATGAGGATAGGAAAAAATGAATATGATGGAAGGTCCCAAAGATTTGCGACTGCTGTTTGTCATTTGCCAATGCCTGCAGCTGTAGCTGTGTCTAGCTCTCCTTTGTCTGCATCATCAGAGAACAGGAACGTCGCAGCGCGTTATTGCAGAGTTTGCAATGCGTTACTGGAATGCTCGCTCTGTTCATGGCGACGACGACGCAGGCGCTGTACGTGGACTTTCTCTTGGTGTGTACGAGTACGATGCCGTGAATGCAGCGGTGTCGCCATTGGCAGCGCGGTTTGGGAGGGAGCACGGCGCTGGTCCTGGACGGGCGTACGGCGGAGCAGGTCCGGCCGGCGGTGGGGCGCCACTGACAGCCAGAGCGGTAGGAGGACCACACGGCCGGGCACCCAACCTCTTACTGTGCTAGAGACAGTCAAACTACCACGTAGTAAATAGGAAAAACCTCACATTATATAGCCGGAATCGGCTGGGCGTTTGGCATGTGGTACCATGCATGTGAAATGGACAAGACACACAGCTTCGATCGGATTGAATGGCCCATGGCTAGAGCTTTGTTTGCTTTCCTGTTTGGATGTATTTGTATGGTACTGTAAAACCTGATGACGCTTGCAACGGACGGACAGGCACAGTTCAGTGTTGGTGTCCTACTGTACTTGGAGAGCAGGCGGCACATAAATTGGTGAAACCGTCGTGGTGTTTTTTTTTTCTTTTTACCGTTGCGATGCATGCATTCTGAAGAAAAAGGGAGACTGGAGAGTGAGCAGAGAGAGACAAGCAGTGCGTGTACCTGTTTTTTTTTTTTTTGCTTCTTAGAAGACTTTGAGAGGCGCAGTGCATGAAAACTCGGATATATCATGGTAAATGATGGGGGTCTTTCTGCGTTGTTGATTGGCATGCTGAATCCTGAACACTGCGGTCTGGAGTGCAGTGCCTCGAAAGACACAGCTTATATAGCTCAGGGGTCTCAAAAAAACAGAAACAGGGAAGCCAGAAAAAATGAAGGGAAAAAAAAAGTTCAGGGTCTCAAAAACACAAACTGGGAAAGCCAAACACAAAGGGACAAAAATCGGTCTATATCTCAGGGGTCTCAAAAAACAGAACAAGGAAATCCTGAAAAAATGGACAAAACAAGTGCAAAAACTGGGAAGCCATAAAAAAGGTTCAGGGTCTCAAAAAACACAAATTGAGAAAGCCAAAAACAAAGGGACAAAAATCGGTTTATATCTCAGGGATCTCAAAAAGCAGAAACCGGGAAACCCAAAAAAAAAGGATATTTTTTTTTTAAAAAAATGGAGACGTGGGGTATCGATCCCCGTACTCTCTCGCATGCTAAGCCAGCGCTCTACCGTCTGAGCTACATCCCCATTTGTAACGGAAGGTATAAATAGTCTATTGTCACCTATAGATTTGTCGGATGCTCCACACTCAGGGCTCGTTTCCACTCATCGCCGAGGTGGCACGTAGAGGTGGGCAAAAATGGCCGATATCCAATCCCCGGACCCGAAGCATCGATGCTAACATTGCACCACCATACTATAATATTCAATGTAAATCTGAGTATACGGAGATATTTTTGTTTAAATGGGCCCTGTTCGCTTGAACTTATCAGTCATGGTATAGTGTTTTTCTCTCGTAACAAATCAGCGAACAGTACTTTTCAGTCTAGCTTTTCAGCGAAACGAACAGGGCCAAATACAAGAAGTTACATATTTGCAAATACATGGTTCAACAAAAGGACACATTCAGCTCCGCTCCCGCGCATCAGCTGCAGCTTGCAACGCTCCAACAGGAGCCCTCAGTTTACAATCTTAGAGCATCTCCACCAGAGTTCTCATATCGTATCTCCTATTAATTAAGAGAGTACTCTAAAATCAATTTAGGATATAACTACTGCAGCAGATTATGTAAAACTTGTGTCCTATGTTTTTTTAGGGAGAGAGGAGAGGTGGGTGTCTCCTTTGTTTAGGAAAGACGATACTTCTTTTAAGAGATCTCTTAAAAATTATAGATATAGGAGATCTGCTATAACACTTTCATCTCCTAAACACTACATTTTTAGATTAGGAGATTAGATGGGATATATGGTGAAAATGCTCTTAGCAATTACCGTACATCCTATCCCAGGAGGCACCAAAGGTCTGTTCGGTGCTCGTGGCAGCCACAGCTTTCATTCAACCGCTGGCAAGTGGCAATACACATGCAGCAGCAGCAGAACAACGGCTGTAACAAGCTCAAATCGAAGGCCATATGTTTCCAGAAGCAACTCCTTCGGTGCAATGTAGGATATGCATCGAGATTGATGGGAGCGGACGCGTGGACGACATCATCCAGTAGGTGCTGTACGGGAGACGGCGTCCACCGCTGTGTCCTCTCGCTCTCGGCCTCGTTGCTCTCCACGTCTCGGCCGGTGGCAGGTACGTGTCGCCGCGCGGAGCTTGCTCTATCCATGCAGCAGGCGACCGATCCTGGCTCGCGCTCCTCACTGGTGATAACAGAGAGAAGTCCACTGCGGCACATCCATTAAAAGTTAAGAAGGCACGGAGCGACTAGCTAGCGAGGCTCGTCTTCATTCGTAGTTCTTCCGTCCCGTTGTGCGCAACTGAGCAAGCAGGCGAAGCAAGCGAAGAGAGAGGGCGTCGTCGTCATGGATCTGGTGAACGGCGTGCTCAACTGGGTGGGGACGCCGGCCATGGTGGCCAGCCTGCTGCTCTTCTACCCGCCCTACTACCTCTTCAAGACCTGCTACTCCTTCCTCTCCTGGCTCTTCCCCGAGGACCTCACCGGCAAGGTTGTGCTCATCACCGGAGCTTCCTCCAGCATCGGCGAGGTGACACCGTGACACACACTGTGTCGTCCACTGCCTGTTACTATTACTGTATCGGACCCTACTGTATCTTTACGTGCTCAGTTTTGCTTTTGCCTTTTGCATGTTTAGATTTACTAGATTTGCTACTAATTTCTTGCGAGTGTTTATGTTCCTAATTTACTGTTTACTTGTTTAATACTCTTAGAATCACCACGGGATTAGGAACTACAAATTCATTATTGACCATAGGTCCGTCCATAACGACGATCGACTAGTAGCTGCCACAAGATCATGATGATGTTCAGGTGCTCTCTGTTTATTAGATTCAGCTCATTTGTGACGTTCTCTGCAGCAATTGGCCTACCAATACGCGCTGAAGCGGGCCTCCCTCGCCCTCGTCGCAAGAAGGGAGTCGAGCCTCCAGCAGGTCGCCGACCGAGCACTCGAGCTCGGCGCGCGTGACGTCATCGTCCTCCCGGGCGACGTCTCTGCCCCCGATGACTGCAACAGATTTGTTCAGACCGCGATCAGTCACTACGACCGATGTGAGTGCATGAGACTCCCCAACATTTACAGTTTGCCTTGTGCAAGCTCTGTTGCAAGCTTTTCCTTTGTCTGTTTCAGTGGACCATCTCGTGTGCAATGCTGGCATCGCAAGCGTAGGCGCGTTTCAGGAGATTCCAGACGTCACAAAATACAGCTCTCAGCTTGTAATAAATCCCTAGAGCTAGCCTTGTTTGTTTGCTTTTCATTTCCTAAGATAAATATATATGCGCAGGTGCTGAACTGATCTACTTGGTTCTTCAGGATATCAACTTCTGGGGTTCTGTTCAGACGACGTTCGCTGCCCTTCCTCATCTGAAGAGGAGCCGAGGAAGAATCGTGGTGACTGCATCTGCAACCGGATGGAACCCAGTTCCTAGAATGAGCTTCTATAATGTAGGGAACTTTTTTTTCATCCGCTCAGACAACAAGATTTCATTTCAGCATGCTGGGACTTCGAAACTCTGCCAGTTTCATGTGTACGTACTTATTTATGTTCATTCAGGCTGCCAATGCTGCCCTCATAAACTTCTTCGAGACGCTGCAGACCGAGCTGGGAAGCCAAGTCGGGATCACGGTGGTGACGCCCGGGTGGATCGAGTCCGAGATGTCCAAAGGGAAGTACCTCAAGGAGCATGGCGAGGTGGAGGTTGATCAAGAAATGCGCGACGTTAGTGACAACACTGATACTGATCAATGATCAGCCGATGAGCCCTGCGATTGCAATCGTGTTGGAACTAATAACACGTTAATAATATGCTGATGAAGATGGCTGTGCTGTGCATGTTTCAGGCTCAGATCGGTCTGTTCCCGGTGGAGTACGACAAGAACTGCGCCAAGGCCATGGTGCAGGCAGCGCAGCAAGGCGAGCGATACCTCACCGTGCCGGCGTGGTTCAGGGCGATGTATCTGTGGCGGGTGTTCGCCCCGGAGGTCGTCGAGATCTGCTACCGCCTCCTGTACATGCACGGCCATGGCGCCAGGCAGGCCGACACGGCGAGCAGGACGATGGCCGAGTCTGGCGGCAAGCAGCTGCTGTACCCGACCTCTCTACGCTCTGAGGAGATCAAGAGTGACTGAGGTCAGGTCCTGTGCAAGCATGAAATGCAACAAACTTTGTTGGCCCTTTGGACATCAACTGTGTGTGTGTGCGCAGTTGAATGGTCCCATGGAGCATGGAGTGAGTGAAGTATAGAGCTCTAGACGAAAGCAGTTGTGGTCATGTTAATATAAGCTGTGTACCTTGGTAATGAATAAGCTATGATTCTGGTGGTGCTCTCTTTTGCTTCTCCTGGTGAACGAAGTTGCCACAGATTTGGTGTGCTCTGCACCTCCTTTGGCTGGGTTTGGTACCAACAGCCTGGATGCTAGCTGCTACTTACAGGTGTTCACGACTTTTTCAAGGCACAAGAGCCTTTTTGAGGTACTTAAGGTAATGGCGATTGATGAAAATTGTAACTTCTAAGTTTTTAATTTAGGAGGCTTGAAGGGGTAAAATTGTAGCTGTTTAGAGTAAAATAATTGTTTAGAGTTATTAGATTTTATAATTTGGAATTTATAATTTTCAAACGATCTCATATGTTAACATGGTCTATAGCAAAGTTGTAGAGCTAAATGCGATCTAGAGCTTTGTAGTTGATATAATTACTTTTTGTTTCAAGTTGTTTAGAATATCAAATGTATGTTCAATTTTAATTTAAAATTTAAATTGAAAATTTTCCAAATAACATCAAATTTTAGATGTTAACATAGTCTACATCAATGTTGTAGATCTCAATGCGATCTACAACTGTGTAGTTGATAATTATTTCTAAAGTTGTTCAGAATATCAAATATATGTATTCTAAATATATGTTTTATTTAAATTTTTAGACTTTAATTTAAATTGAAAATTTACGGAATAACTTGTAGTGGACTACTTTCTTTGGCCTTGACTCTGTTTGAGGACACTTATAATTGACTCAATTATAATCATCGTGCCGTGAGAATTTTTTGATTCTTAATTTTGTTAGTTTAAAGTTTAGAAGCGGAGGTTAAAAGAATCAAACATAATCAAAAGCGGCGATCAAAAGAATCAAACACAATCTAAGTGTTTGGTGAGAATCTTGCTTTTTCACACCATCAATCGGATTATTATAAGAACAGGTCCCTTATCATGTTAGCCGTGGAAGGCTAGTTTCTCTAGTCTAGTGTTTTTCATGGGAAAGGGTTCTTTTCCTCCTTCATTTTTATTGTTCATTCATCTTTTTTTTTCTCTTAGGGGTTGTTTCGACCCCTTCATTTTAAAGAATTGGAATCTACTCAATGGGGTTATTTAGCTTGGAATTTGAGATTCCACAATTTTCCAGTCTATCTTAATTTCATAGGGTGGGAGGTGAAAATTGATCCTATAGATCACCATGTTATGTTTCTACTCTACAACTTATAACACGCTCTTCAACCCACTTTCTTATAGTAGAAATAAAACATATAAGCATTTCTCTTTCATGGCTAACAATAATATATAAATATATTTCATATATAACTATATTAGCTTAATATATGTTTAAATTATAATTTACTAGATATATGCCCGTGCGTTGCACGGGGGGCATATTTTTACTCACGCGCATCTACGATGACAAATTTGATTATTTTTAGAAAATTTTAAAAAACTAACACACAAATTTATATTGGCCACCCTAAACTATTTATAAATTTCTTTTTATATATATATGGAACCATGTTATCTTTTCATCTACTCTGTATATCCTTGTCCTTTTTTCATGTTGGAGTGTCCGTCCACGAGGGTTTTTTTTTCTCGTCGTTTGCGTATACCCCTCGCGGCTATGAAGCTCCACAAGGGCACTCCGTTGTCACTAATGATCTCCGTCACCGTTGCCACACCGGTCCTCGTGTCCTGCTTGCCCTTGCCGTCGTCTCGTTCTATGACGTCAACTTCGCTGATAGTTACGAGTACATAAGCTGCGCCTCCTCTTTTTATACTACTTAAAATATACGGAGTGGTTTCGTCCACCATAACTTCGCGCACGCGGACGCGCCCGCTGCCGCAAAGAAAAATTCGGAGTCGGAATCTCGGAAACAGCCCTCACGCGATCTGCGCCCCTCCCCGATTCGAATCCCCCCCCCCACCCACCCACACACACACACACTTTTTACTTCCTTAATGATAACTAAAAAACGACGCCCAAAAATACGGGGTGCATCTCCTATACGGCAACAATAATCAATCGCCGATGCCTTCCTCTCATACGAGACGCACGTCCCAGCTCCCTGGTTGCCGCACGAAGCCGGCTACTCCGCTGGGCAGAGAACGCGTCGGAAGCAGGCGGCGGCTCGAGGCACCACCCGTCGAGCCCGGTGGCCTTGCTGTCGAAGCATACGCCTACCACCTCCATGTCTTTGAAGGCGTCTCAGGTCAACTCCTCGTCTTCGGCCACCGCCACGGAGGCATGTGAACCTTATGCGGGCCAATGTGTGCCGGATGACGAGGCGTCTAGGAACGTGCCTGTTCATCGACTACATCCTCCAGAACACCATGAAAACGCCCATGAATTTATTAAGCACAGGCGACGGGATTGCTGATTGGACTCGACGCCTTAGTCGAGAGACCAAGTTTTTTCAGGGCCAAACTCGATGATCGATTTTATCGGCCTGTAATAAGTCGTTTATATGATTTTGAATGTGGAATATTTTGTTTCGGAAATGGTTTTTTTTGCTATATATAATTTTTGATCTGGATGAAACGGTTTTTTTTGCCGTATATGTTTTTTTTCGCAAACGTTTTTTTGCTGTATTTGTTTTTTTGAAAACGGGGATGTGGAAGAGTTTGTTTCTAAAATGTAGGATGTGGAGGAGTTTGTTTCTGTAACTTTTTTTGTCGTTTTTTTTTGTTTTGCCGTACTTTTTTTTCTGTATTTGATTTTTTTCGATTGGAAACGTTTTTTTGTCAGTTTTTTTTGCCGTATTTTTTCACATTGAAAATAGGGACGTTGTTTTTTAAGGCGTTTTTTTTGCCGTGGAGCGGGGCGATGCTGATGATGACTTTAGTTATTTTTTAGGTGTAATAGATTGGATTCCAAGAATCCAAACGAGCCTTAGTGAAATGATATGTAATTCTCTTGCATGCTCGAGAAAAATATGTAACATGATAAATGTTTAGTGCAGTGGTAGAAAAAGCTCATGTGAGACTAGAGGCCACGGGTTTGAATCTTTGATTTTTTTCCAAACATATTTTAATTTATACAACTTTTTAGAAAAAAAAAACTAGCCAACCAGCCTCATACCATGATTTTGATTTATCTTCTGAAAATGTTTCTTGAAAGATTCTAAACCTAAATTATGTTTACGAGAATCTAAATTTCTACCCAATGCATGTTTAGTAATACTTATGTCTTACTTTTCATAGTCCAAACCAAATAGAAGGTGACCTTAGCAATGGGAGGAGCATATGAACTTGAAGGGGCACGGGGCATTATAGGAAATAAAAAAAAAGATGGGTCAACAAACCTCTTGAATTTACATCCGTCGTTAGGTGTTCTAATAAGTTTTGAAATAAGTTCAAAAAAAACTTTTGAAACTTATATAAAAAATAATTAGAACTCTAACTTATAAGATATCTATCTAGAAGACATAAATAAATATTAATAATGTTTTCCTACTATAAACATATTACTAATCGATCAAAACTCAGAATTTTACAGTCTTTTAAGGACGGAGGTCGAGGGCAGGGACGGAGGAAGCAGAGGGCGAGACCATGGAGGGTTCAAGGGTAACGAACAAGCGCGATCCGTTCAGCAATAGGGAGGTTTGGAGTATTGCGGAGCAGCTGGATGTTGATCCGGAGGCGGCGGCGCGGCGCTACGCCCGCATGGGTCAGAGGGAGCGGGAGCTGATCCAGGAGCTCCGGTCCGTCTTGGTGGCCATGGATCGGGCCTGCGGAATGAGCAGGAGGGCAGTGCCAGGGCGACGCATCTCGTACCGCCTGGAGAGGGGTAGGATCGTGCGGGAGACCCCAGATGGGGAGCAGAAGCTGCAGGAGGTCCCGACCGACGAAGGCGATGTGGGAGCATCGTCGTCATCTTCAGTCGCCGCCGCTGCCGCCGTGACCAGATCGGAGGACGGGCTGTGCTCAGCGTTTAGTTCTGCCCGCTTCTAGTTACGCAATGCAATCTCGTTTTTTGGGGGGCCTGCAATCGAAATCGACGAGCTTTGATCTGCTGCTTATTACATAGTAGATAGTAAAATGCAATTTCATATGGATATGGTATTATACTACTCCGAAGTCCTACATTTGCTGGGGCCTTCAGTATTATTATTGCATATTGAAGTCGAAATTGGCTGCTGAACGTTGAGCTTCTGTGTTTCTCTCTGCTCCTAACATTTGCTTACCCACATGTTAAGAAATTTTATAGATAATCTCTCCATTCCAAATTATAAAACATTTTGCCTTTTTTACGTACATAAGTTTTACTGTGTATCTAATAAGACAACGCACATCTATATGCATAGCAAACGTATGTTTCTGAAAAATGACAAAAAGTCTTATAATTTGGAAGGGAGTAACTCTTATCTTCTGCGTGTCTCAGACCAACGCCAAGCAGGCCTATTCATTGGTCCAGCCCAGCTCAAGTGCCAGTACAAGAAAGAAGAAACACGCGTCGACCAATCCAGGCACATTGCGCAGAAGATTTCGATCGATGGTAATCAGTTCATAGCATGTCAAATGCAGAAGCGTATCACCTAGCAACAGCTAGGCGTCAGCATATTTATCTGGCTGAACACCGTCAGACTAGACGATGCAAACAATTTGTGTTCAGCATATTTATCAGCCCCAGCATACATGTAATGCAACGCGTCTGCCCCCAACGACTCAAATCTTATTGAAATCCAGGTCCCCAATTTTTTCAGGCATGTTTACAGCGCTTGATTGATGGCATACAAGCCGCAATTGGCCACAGGAAGATACACCGACTGTCTGACTCTATGCAGCAATTTCCTTTTTTTCCCCCCAAACACACCCTCTGGAGCAAGATCAACATCTGGAGCAATTTCCTTTTTTTCTCCCCCAAACACACCCTCTCGAGCAAGATCAACATCCATTGCCAATGACCACACCACCTTATTCAGCCTGCATCCAACTTTACATCCATCCTTGAGATAGGAATCCAAACGCTGATCTGCAAGCAGGGAAGGAGACCAACCGGACAGCAGTGTTACACTCACTCTTCTGTTCTGTCCTACAGCAATGAACTGGACCGGACTCACTCTTCTGTTCTGTCCTACAGCAATGAACTGGACCGGACTCACTCTTCTGTTCTGTCCTACAGCAATGAACTGGACCGGAAGGCTGAGCAGACGCACCTTCGAACTGCTGTTCCTAGTTGGTGAAGGAAGCAAGGACTTCGAGGAGGGAAGCAGCAAAGTGCATCTGGACCTCCTCATCGATCGTCAGGAAGAGGGGCACATGCACGAACAGAGATTTGATGCCGTGTTGCTCCGCGAACCGAAGAGAGTGGTAGTACACATAGTTGCATACAAACCGACCAGCGTCGTCGGAGGGCACCACGTCGTAGCCTATCTTCTGGAGCGACTTGGTCAATTCATTCACTGGCAGGGTAGTCTGGTTGGTTATGAAAAGGGTGATTAATATCAGGATCACCAATGCTTTCAATGGAAAATATCAATCAAAAAGCCTAAAGGATTAAGTGTGTGCATGTAAAATCCAGCTCTGGCAGGTTGTTTGGTACAATAAACAACATTTTGGTGCACAGGTAAAATCCATAGCTCTAGCAGATTATTTTTTCTTTTAATGAAACAGGAGGGGCAAGCCCCTACTGAAAAATATATTTCTATATAAATAAAAAAGAGAACTTTGAAGAATACAAATCAGGTTGGGGGAGAACAGAACAAGATAAAATAGAAAAGCCATTGAAGCCATTGTGATATCGTTGGGGACTAGGTCTTCTATGCACTATAGATAACCGTGGCAAATCTACCAGACTGTTTATCATAGTATTTGTTAATTTCTCACAGATTGATGCTTGAATTCAAATAGAAGTAATAGGAACGGATGAATTACAATACTCCAGCATACAACAACAACAACAACAACAAAGCCTTTTAGTCCCAAGCAAGTTGGGGTAGTCTATCAATGAATATTTGGTGGGTACAACCAAATACATTAAGAACTTATCAACTTCACACACCTTTGAAGGTAAATATCGCACACAGAAAGCGGATTCCAGATACATAATTATATATGACAAGACATTAAACGCAGTAAGACTGCACATATAAATAACAAGCACCCATCAAATCAAACATATCAAATCTTTACCTCTCTCGTTCGCAAGATGCTTCCATCAGAGGGCACAACAGGGACCCTCTGCACAGGAACAAATGAAGATGGTCAAAATGCATCAACAAGGTTTATTTGTAAGTCTAGATAACAATAACAGGCATTAGACAACAAAGTGACCTGAGGTTTCCATCCTAGCTCATCTGGACACCGGAAGGTAGCCTCATTAACAGCTTGGTTCTCAAGGGCAAACCTTGTTGCACCACTGTTGACCCCAAAGTGGATCTGAAATATATTCCATAATAAAATCAGTTCCAGTGACACTGGATACAAACTATGTTTTCTAAAATATATTTTCAGAGAAAAAGCATGACAATCCACAAGATGAAACTAATTCTTGTGACAACAGAAGCATTAGTTTCCAATCATCATTTAAGATGCTTTACTTTTTCTCGATAATTTTAATGCTGTAAGGTGAACATCTTATCACATGGTCAAATAAGAGGGTAAAATTCTTGTGAATTGTAATTAGGCCTTCACCATAAGACGAAGCATATCAACTAGCAATATGCATTGACATTGATGAGTACCCAATAATGATGCTTTAAATGATACTTGATGATGCATTATATATCCAATAAATACTGCAGAATTCATAGTTTCATTCAGCACATGAAAGAACTTGCTATATGAACTGCGATAGTTTGAATGCTAATCTCCTGGTTTGAGAGAATGAAAACATGGTAAACATTAGAACACAGATATTTTAGCTATAAGTTAGAGGAACACTGATTCATCTAACGTGATCCTAGACTACACTATCAAATCAAGAATATGGTTAGCACTGAGCACTCACCCAAATAACTTGTCCCTGTGCAGACGACCCAGTTCCTCTGTCTGCAATAGCAGACTCTAAAACCTTATATAATGTGGGAAGTGACCCCTGCCCTGCTGTTTCGAGAACTGTACAGCTTCCAAGGACAAGATTTTTTGGCAACCCTCGCTTTTCCAAGAAAGAATTAAGATTGGTCACAATTTTCTCAGTTGGATTCTCAGCAACCCCATGGAACTTCTTAAATCCAGTAACATGGACAGTGACAACTGAAGGTCCTTCTGATCCCATTTACCCTTTTTACTTTTGAGCTAAACAGCAAAGAATTGTCCTCCAGAAGCCTGAATAACAAAGATCAACAGATGGATAAACATTAGCAAGTCACACACTTTAACAGATACAAAGTAATGAGAATTTTCGTTGTTAAAACAGAGCAGTGTGGAAGGCAGGCCACCTATATAAACCTACAGAAATCCTAAGACATGGAAAAACTACTGCAACAAACAACCGTACTCCAAAAACCCGTATCACAACGGTAAGAAAATGGGTGAATATTAGCAAGGCACACAATTAACCAGACTCCAGACGCAAGGCAATGTGGCAATCTGCTTTTAAACAAGGACGAGCAACGTGGCAAGACCATGAATATGAACTCATCAAATCCTAAGGCGCGGACCAACTACGCAGGCAGCTCTGACTGTCCCAAGTAAAGCTATTTGGATACAGTATGAAAAGAAGCTAGAATGTTTATACAGTATAGCAGACTGAAGTAACAGCATACCATGCGTGGACCTGAGTTCATTGAAAGTAAAGTCAAACAAGAATCAGGAACACGTTTATCAGCAAAGTCACCTAGATAGGCAACACCTACGACCATATTCTTCGAACATGATAAGGCAATCATTGTTCAGTATTTTATTGAGAAATGATCAACCCATCGAACAATAGCATCAAGCAAAGAAGGGGGGGGAGGGGGGGAACGGGTGACTTATACATGATAGAAATTGGTCTGAGCAAAAATAATCGATGAAAAGCTTATATTCAGATAAGCAGGACAAGAAACTAATTCCCAGGTAAGAAAGCACTAGCGACCACAGCGACAGACTGAAGCACTAGCATCTGTCTAATGTCTACCCCCTAACAAAGCAAGCCTGACCACAAGTGCGTTCTTAGTCTTACTACCGAAATCTCAACCAATATGAACGGAACTAGCACGCAGCCTTCAAAGTCCAAAGCATCTGTCTTTCAATCCAGCCGGGTATAAACTGAAACCAACGTTCGCCAGTACAGAGAACAGAGAAGAAAGAAAACAAGACAAAGGCGGGCGGCTGCTTCCAATCATTATCGTGGCTACTAGTCAACTCTGTGCCAACATAAACGTCACAATCAGGCGCAACCAGCAGATTGCAACCGAGTGAGCAAGGAATTCACAAGAACCACAGCGACAGACTGAAGCACTAGCATCTGTCTAATCCCAATTCTGCAGTACCCCATGCCCAATTAAGCACCAGGCACTGATTGCAACCGAGTGAGCAAGGAATTGACAAGAACCCGAGAGGTTCAGGGACTAATCGAAGTAAAACCGCCACCTTTGGGCCCGAGATGACCCCGATCACCTCACTCACAACCACCCCTCGCAAATCCAGCGGATAAACCGTCAGGACGAGCCCGAATTTCGCCGGCAAAGCAAGGAATCTTCCGGACTCGGGAGCCAATTGAGGGGGGCCGGGCGGAGCTGCGCCGCAGGCAAATTAAAAACCACGGCCGCCCCGCTGCCGCAGGCCGCACCAGACCACCAGCCAGCCAGGCAAGCCAACCGAGCACGCGGAATTCTCACCGTGGGAGCAGCGGAGGTGCCGCGGACGGCAGCAGATGGATGGATAGAGAGGAGGTGGGATGGGAGAAAGAGGCAGCCAGCCGGAGCCGGGCGAGCCTGGTCCGTCCGTCCCTTTTAAAGCGCATCGCAACGCATCTGGAGGTGGAGGGGTCAGGTGAGCAGTGCTTCTGAACACTGTTGGAACTGCAGAAGCAATCAAGAGGCGTGGCGGGGCCCCCTCGGCAGTGGCTGGTAGTGGCGGGTCCCACCCCACCCTGAGCTTACAGGTGGTAGTGCGAGCTAGCTAGTGGGGCTAGTGGCTAGTAGCAGCTGCTCCCTCCGTTCAATTCTCATCACTCTCCTCGCTTTTCAGGGAAACTGTTTAAAGTTTGATTGAAATTATATAAAAATACTAGTATTTATGATATAAGCTAAATATTATTAAATTAGTTATAAAATATACTTGCTAATAAATCTAGTTATAGACATAAATATTAATTATTCACTGTAAATTTGAACCGTGCTAATTGTTGGCTCCCATCAGGATCAATTAAGGCTGTGTTCGGCTGGCTAGCTGGCTGTTTGCTGGCTGGCCAGCCACCTCACAGAATCACTGTTTACGTCCTATTAGAACAGTATTTTTTTTTCACAACAATTAGCCGGAACAGTATTTTTCAGTCCTGCCGAACATACTCTAAGACGATAGACACAAGCAAGCAGCAGCTCAGGATGTGCCATCTTTAGCGGCTCATTGTAAGTCGTTCTGACTGCACTCCATCGCAAAGCCTGTTTCGAAATTGGAATACATAAATTTTATAGAAAAAATAGTGTAGGAATTTCAAAAAAACAGTTTTTTTTTTGAAATCAACAGGGGGAGAGATTCCCCACCAAACTTTTTCATTTCAGGGCTCCACAAGCGTGGAGATGTTCGAGGTATTACAGTGGAGAAGAAAACAGCGCCAGTTGTTCAGGTTAGTTACATCTAGATCATTCCTGAAGCGTTTGCGCCAAATTACAAGATCATCACAGATTTTTGAGATCACAGATTGGCTAGAAGGAGACTCATTCCTGAAGATCTCCCCGTTTCTGGCGTCCCACAACCGCTAAAGGATAGCTTGGCCTTGTTTAGATTGAAAGTTTTTTTTGAACCTGATAAATAGTACCATTTTCGTTTTATTTGATAAATATTGTCCAATCGTGGATCAACTAGGCTCAAAAGATTTATCTCGTGATTTTCAACTAAACTGTGTAATTAGTTATTTTTTTTACCTACATTTAATATTTTATGCAAATGGCTAAAAATTAATGTGATGGAGAGAGAATGAAAAAACTTGAATTTGGAGGTGATCTAAACAAGGCCCTTGTAGGATGAAGGGCCAAAGCTGGCGTCAAGGTTTGGGGGAACGTCGGCATTCCAAGCATCAACGTCAGATAGAGTTGCCACACTGCTGAGGTTAAGCCTGCTCCAGACCCCAGAGCTGGTGGGGCATCCAAAGAAGACATGATGACGATCCTCAACACTTCCGGCGCAGCGCTGACACAGGTCGTCATCCAGTACATGCTTCGCGTGCAGGTTTGATCGAGCGCTAAGCCGGTCCTTGAAATACAGGGTGTTTGGTTCTTTAGCTGCTCTTAAAATTTATGTCACATCAAATGTTTAGATACTAATAAAAGCATTAAATATAGATTAATTATAAAACTAATTACATAGATGGAGGTTAATTTGCGAGACGAATTTTTAAGACTAATTAATCTGTCATTAGCACATGTTTACTGTAGCATCACGTTGTCAAATCATGAATTAATTAGGCTTAAAAGATTTGTCTCGCAAATTAGTCGCAAGTTGTGCAATTAGTTTTATAATTAGTCTATATTTAATACTCTATGTATGTGTCAAACATTCGATGTGATAGAGATTTTAGAGCTCCTGGCCAAGAGAAAACTTTCACCTTGTTTGGGACACGCGAGTTCCAAATGAGTTGCCCATGTATGTCGGGTAGACTTTGGCTGCTGTCCAGAGCGGAGTAGGCACTTCTTAGTGTGGGAGAAGAGAGCAGTGATGGAACCAAAAGAATTTTTAGGCGTATATAAGTGGATAATACTTAGCTTAGATAGGAAATTTGGTGATGTACCTTGCCCTAGGGTAGTTGCGGCCATGGCGTCGTGGCCATCGGTGTCGTAGCAGTGCAGGCGCAGTATAGTGACGGCGGTCGAACGCGATGGCGCTTCCGTCGCTCACAGCGTCCCTTTAAATCGGACTAGTGTTAGAAACTTCAGGGTGGGACTGGCGGCTACTGGTGAACCTCATCCTTATGCCCCAGCCCCCATCGTCCTTTTATAGCGCTGCGCGATGGGGGTCCATCAGCCAGTAGAAAGGCTGAGCGCCCCCGATCAGGCCGCGGATCAAGGGCCCAATTGATGGAGATCAACCTAACATTCTCTTCCTTATGAGTTAAGCTTAACTTCCTTTTTCTTTTCTCATTCTATCACAGATCAGTGCATAGAGCGTGCCTCATCGTCACGGTCAGTTACCATTAGATTTAACAACTATAATGTACCTCTCTATTTTAAAATAGATACTCAACTAGGCCCTTAGTATCTAGAAATCATAGGCTTTCTCGTAAACCCATATCGACTTTGTGTTCTCTGAACGCACTGGGTGGTTAGCCTTTGGTAAGCGAATCCACAAGTACTTGCTTAGTACTTATATGCTCAATGCTTTCAAAATAATTCTGTATTTTTTTCTTTACGACATATAACTTTGTGTCAATGTGTTTGGCAGCACACTTGACATGTTGTCTTAGAAGTTAACTTACTTTAAATGGTTATTACTGTTGTCTACCATTGTTAAATCCGGGTACAAACTCTCTTAACATCTTTTGCCTGTTCCTTAAGCCTCATGTCAAGCTATACTATGGTATGCATCACTGATGACATCATAACTGTTTCTTTAGAGCTTTTCCACAATAATACTCTAACTGCGAGTGTTAGCAACTACTGTGGATTTCACTACATATCTCATCAAGACTCAACATTTGTACCCTCAATTATTTGAGAATACTTGTTCTTTCTTACTCAGCATGAGGCCTATGATACTTTACAAAATTGCAAGATATTCTCAACTCCATTCCAGTGATCTATATCTGGACTGGACTTCTGCCAAAATATCCCGGATACGTAAAACTACGTCAAGGTAAGTTCTTACTTGTACTTGTACACTCATCAAGCTTTCAACAGCTGAAGCATATGAAAGCATGTTTATTTGATCGATCTCATATCGGTTCCTGGAACACTTAAATTTCTCAAATCTATTACCCTTGACTAAAGGAGCAGGCGTAGGTTTACTCGTATGCATACTTTATTTCTTTAAAATATTTTCTAAGTATGCATTTGCGATAGTCCTAATACCCAATTTTCTTCTGTCTTAGTGAATTTCGATTCCTAGAGCCAATGACGCTTCACCAAGATCATTCACATTGAAACTTGAAGACAAGAATTCTTCTTCTCTAATGACAGATTAATATTACTACTAGTGAGTAGGATATCATCTATACATAGGATGTGGAAAAAAGATTTTTCCATTCTTGAACTTCGCATAAACGCTATTGTCCTTTTCATTTTCTTTAAACCCAAACTTTCTTATCGTTTCATCAACTTCAAATACTACTGTCTAGAGACTTACTTTTAACCCATAAATGGATTTCTATAGGCGACATCCCATATGTTCTTTTCTTCCACGATAAAACCTTTTGGGTTATGACATGTAAACGTTTTCATACAAATACCCGTCGAGGAATTGAAAGGACCTAGGATGTCGCCTAGAGGGGGGGTGAATAGGCGTTTCTGAAAATTAACACCTTTAAATGCGGAAACAATTAGAAAGGGGAGTTTCCAAAATGGAAACTCCAAATTAAGAGTACTACCACCCCTCTCAAGTTAGCCACAGAGTAAACAAGGTATAAAGAATATATCTAGAAGCTACAACCCTGCAACATCAAGTTAGAACAGAGAATAAATATTTTTAGTGCAGGCAGGAAATACCGGACGTGTCCGGTATGAATCTGGGGACGTGTCCGGTATACACGATTCTGCAGATCAGCCCGAACTTGCTCCTTTTGATTTCTATCTTCAAACCAAACTGCAGGCACCTAATTTAACTATCAAGATATATACGAGAACTCTGCACAAGTGCTAGAGCAACACAAATATCAAATGAAATGCGAATTGAGACACGATATTTGTTTTTACAAGAAGTTCGGACTCGTTCGAGTCCTACTCTCCGTTGAGGGGGCTGCAGGCGACCAAATGAAGGTCAGCCCTAGAGGATACCACGAAGGTCACTCTAGCCGAGTCTTTTCCAACTCCTTTTCCTCCTTCCACTAATTTATTCCGAGGCGGCGGAATCGACAATTACAAACTTTCCGAGGCACACCACAATCTCCCGTGTGCTCTCCCGCGACGTCTAACCGTCTAGGACCGAAGAGTCCAAGAGTAACAAATGCGAATCACTAGATTGACAATATGCACAAGTGCTCAAGTGGTTGGATGGCTCTCTTTTGAATTTCACTCAACCCACAAATTGATTTTGCAAGTTTGATCAATCACTCACTAAGAGAGGGTTGGCAAGGCTCAAAACGTGTGTCTAAGTCAGTAGAATCAGCAGCCTCCAAAGGTGGAGGCTTGGGGTTATTTATAGCCCCCTTAAAAAACTAGCCGTTTTATAGCCGTTGCAATACCGGACACGTCCGGTATGCATACCGGACACGTCCGGTATGACTCACACTGCGCCAACAGTAACTAAGTTATAGTGATGTTGTGAGGCATCGGAACTCCCGAAGAATGCCGGGACTTCCGACCGTCGGAACTCCTGACTCAAGTCGGAACCCCCGACCCTCAGTAATTTTGAAAAACATGTAACTGAGTTAAAGTTAGTGAGGTGTCGGAACTCCCGACATATGTCGGAACTCCCGACCGTCGGAACTCCCGACATACGTCGGAACTCCCGACCCTCACGGCTTTTGAAAACTAGCCGTTGGCTTCTGGTCATCCATACCGGACACGTCCGGTATTAATACCGGACACGTCCGGTATGACCAGGACAGTGAACCCTCCAAGTCAGTTGAAGTGCGACACGTCGGAACTCCCG